ATGACTTGCAAGATACAGATTCAGATTGGTCCTCCAACCATGAAATTTCTTTCAATGCTTTTGTGAGTTCGAATGATTGGAGCCGGCGGGTAAAGCGTTTTGGTTTTCCTGCGAAAGCCGCAAGCGACAGAAAGTTCTTTGGCCCAAAAACTTGGACTAATTGAGTGGGCTTAACCGGAGAAACCCGATGCCAATGCCAATTAGCAAAGTCAGTTGATTTCTAGACGGGGGTTAAATGGGAATATGCATACGTATCTGCCAACAAAAACTAGCATTAAATTAACAAACAAATGTCAAATGCAAATGGCAATGCAGACATTAACAGGATCGTTTTGCAGGCAATTTAATTTGCCAGCGAAATGTTGTCGAAATTACAGCTCGGAAAATTGCGCAAAATTATGCAAAATATTCTTAGATATGCCATCCCATTCTCTCTGGCTTGTTTGTGCATTCGAGGAAATTGTAGCCAGAAAGCAGAGGAAATTCTAATGTAAATTTCATGCCAACACATAGCAAAAATGTGAGGACACGAAAATGCAGCAGCAACTTCAATGCCAAGCTATTTGATCTCTCCATCTCACTCGCTCTCTATCCATCTCTCTCTCTTAATGCGAGTGTGTGTGTGTACCGGAAATACTTGGCATGCCTCATTGAAGCTCGTTAGCTGACTTATTGCTAGAGTCTGGCTAAGGGATTCATGTTGACAGCTCATGGCGGCACTTTCAATTGAAATAAATCCTCACAAAACTCACGCACACACATGGGTAGTGGAGAAAAAATACGAAATTTGCCAATTTGTTGTCATGTCCCACTTTTGCCACGCCCATTAGCCCATTAGAGGGGGGCGATCCGAAAGTGGGCGGAAGATATCGCATGGAAGACCAAAGGCATTGTCAATACTTGAGCCTTTTTACAGCTCATTCACAGGCTGCCTTCGGCTCATTTCTCATGGCTTTTCCATTTCCCTCCGATTTTCCCGCTTTTCCGCTACCCTCCCCTTGTCAAGTGTTTTTCAAGTGGAGATTAGCACGATTCCTGTGCAGCTTATGCCAAGGATACGGCCCCCTTTTATCAGTTCGATTGGTTTGCTTGTTCAACTGTTTTCCTTTTGTCTCGATTTCTTTGAGTGGTTTGCCAAATAAAGATTTGAGACGTTTACAATAAGGCAGGAAATGGTATATATATCACATATACTTAATATTTTAACAAAAAGTGGGAATAAAATGTATATAAATAAAGACATATTGATACACCGAATAAATAAATAAAATATAATCATTATTTGGTTTGTTTAGAGGAGCTTAATTTAAGTTTCCTTAACTTGGAAAATATAAAAACAACACCCACAAAAAAATATTTCTAGTCCTATTTTTTTAAATTTTTTTTTAATAAAAGGCTAACTTATTTTATTAAACACTGGTTTCAATGTTAATGGTTCTATTTACCGTAAACCTGGCCCAAAATGAGGGCAATTTCATCACGTTTAACGATGTAAAAAATTGGGCTAATGCCGAGAGATATAAAAAAGTAAGGCACCAAAATGAAATCATTTGCACCTTTAAAAGGGCATTAAAAGTGGACCTCAAAGCGAGGGTGGCTATGTGAGTTTGGGGGCGGGAAGAGGGAGGACATGAGTGGCAATCAACAAGAGACACACACGTAGAGTTGCAAACAAATTAGAACACGCACGAATGGCCGGGCCACAAAAGCGATTTGATGAAGAAAACCAAAGGATGGGAGAGAGAAAACAAAAAAGAACTGGGAAGTAGATCAAAGCCAAAGGCACGTGAGTCTATGGCAACTTTTCCCCCAAGCGGCAGGATAATAATTGAGTAGATGCCGAAACTAGTCAAGGTGTACAAAAAATAGTTGCAGAAAATGCAAAATAAGGGGACAAAGACGGCGAAACTGTGAGAAAAGAGGCGGAATGGAGGAGGAAATCGCCTGGCTATTATCCACAGGCTGTCGGCTGACTGACCGCCTGGGCGTATACGTAATTTAAGCCGCTTTAAGTCAGGCCCAATCGTTGGCAACGGGAAAACCGTAGCGAAATCTGTCCCCACCATCTATTCCGTTCGGGAGCTGGGGGGTTGGGATTTGTGGGGTTCCCCCACCCACTGCCACACCTACACACGCACATCTGCTCCTAAGCTGCTGCACGCACATGAAATATCCAGCAAAAAGTCCTTGAGCACGACACACAAAAAAATAAAAGAAAGGGAAATTCAGTGGCGGGGCCAACTCCAACTGGCACTTAAGAGCGTCGATGTCATGTCGACACGCCGGGTGGCATGGGAAAAAGAAGATGGAACGGGACCAGAAGCACACTGAAGAGAAAATGGAGTATAAAGTCAATCAAAAGATGATAGAAATATGATTTTCTAGAAAAATCAAATGTTTCCATCCTTATTTTCTTAACCATTTTAAGATCAATTGTAATAAACATACCTTACATACAAATTAATAAACCATCAGTTAATAATCACCACTAGTTTAAAAGTATAAATTGAAATTCATACACCCAGAGAAATGTGGGACTATTTTTTAGAAACAAAAAACCCAAAAAAAAAAAAAAAAAAAAAAAAAATTAAAAATAGTTTTTTAAAAAAAAAAAAAAAAAAAAAAAAATAATTAACTTATATTTAAAAAAAAAAAAAAAAAAAAAAATAAAAAAAAAAATAAAAAAAAAAAAAAAAAAAAAAAAAAAAAAAAAAAAAAAAAAAAAAAAAAAAAAAAAAAAAAAAAAAAAAAAAAAAAATAAAAAAAAAAAAAAAAAAAAAAAAAAATTAAATTTAAAAATTTAAAAAAAAAAAAAAAATTTTAAAAATATAAAAAAAAAAAAAAAAAAAAAAAAAAAAAAAAAAAAAAAAAAAAACAAAAAAAAAAAAAAAAAAAAAAAAAAAAAAAAAAAAAAAAAAAAAAAAAAAAAAACCCCCCAAACCCCTTTAAGGCAGGTGCGGTTTTGCTTTAAAACAAAAAAAAAAAAACAAAACCCCAAAAAAACCCCCCCAAACACCCCCCCCAAAAACAAAAAAAAAAAAAAAAAAAAAAAAAAAAAAAAAAAAAAAAAAAAAAAAAAAAAAAAAAAAAAAAAAAAAAAAAAAAAAAAAAAAAAAAAAAAAAAAAAAAAAAAAAAAAAAAAAAAAAAAAAAAAAAAAAAAAAAAAAAAAAAAAAAAAAAAAAAAAAAAAAAAAAAAAAAAAAAAAAAAAAAAAAAAAAAAAAAAAAAAAAAAAAAAAAAAAAAAAAAAAAAAAAAAAAAAAAAAAAAAAAAAAAAAAAAAAAAAAAAAAATTTTTTTTTTTTTTTTTTTTTTTAATTTTTTTTTAAAAATTTTTTTTTAAATTTTTTTTAGTAAGAAAGATTTTAAAAATTGAATCTATAAAGATTCTTTCTTTAACATTAAATATATTTTTCATATTAAAAAAAAAACAAAGATTAATTTGAAAACCAAACCTGGGACTTTGAAATATCTAACTGTAAATTGAATCACCAAATTCGCTAAAAAATATAACTTCAAAATACCATATATAAAAGATTTAACGACTCTTCACAGTGGAATATACAAATCTAAAGCAAAACTTATTACATAATACTACTGATTTTCCGATTCCCTAGATTTTTCTCAGTACAGAATAGGCAGGGGCAAAGGCAGGCATCAAGTGTTCCCGGCGCCTAAAGTAACTGAAGTCGGCAAATACCGCGAATCGGATGGAGAGGGACGAAACTGGATAGGATCAGGATAGGATCTGGATGGGGATAGGAATAGAGGGGAGTGAGGGGGCGGCAGGGCAGCTGACACCGTCTAAAGCGGGCGACATGGAGTTAAGTGGCGTAAAGCGTGTACTTAATCGCTTAAAGCATTAGAATTTGAAATTGAATATCATAAAGGATATTCAAAAGTGCGGGCTACAAACGAAGTCGGTTGAAAAAAACCCATGAAGAACAGGCGAGGCGAGCGGAGAAAAAATTGTTTAAGTAGAGCACACAGCAAATAGTTGTAAAATGTTTCTATAGAGATAGACAGAGAGAGATAGGAATACACGGGGTGGGAAAGAGAAGGAGAAGGAGGGTGTGAGAACATTTTGCAAATAGTTGAGGGTCCGTGTGGAGTTGAAGGAGTTTCCCTGCCGTCGAATTGACGACTCGTAAAATTGTTTTAAGGTGCCACATAAACTGTGTATCGCCGGGCGATAAACAAATTGTCGAAGGGAGTACATTTTTATGGCAATTGAATCAATTTGCTGGATTCTTGCTGAAGCGGCGATAATTTTTGTGGCCTCACATGACCAAACACAATGGAAAGTCGTATGCATTTTCATGCAATTTCACACAGCATCAGAAAATAGCAAAAATATTACTTTCAGCTTTAATAACAGTTATTACTGCAACTAGGGTAATATTTTTGCAAAAACCCCCTGCAATTAGCGGTATTACATTAACAAAAGTTTTGATTTCCCTGATGCAAACAATTTACGTGGAATTATTACATAAATTTCTGTTCACATCAGCAAAACGCTGAAATTACAGCCGAAAATAATTATAGCTAGATAAATTTTGTTCGCTTTTAAAGAGAAGACCGTTGAACAATTGATAAATTTTTGCAGCATTTTGCATTAAAATTTATTGAACCAAAAAGCAATAAATTCAATGGGCGAATGGCAGAGCAAGAAGAATGATTTGCGGAAAATACAAATGTGTGTCCGCCCGCCCAAATGGCATTAAAAATGCATGACATTTTGACAATTGATGGGCCAAGGAATCGATAACATCAAATATGCATTGCCAAGGGGGCGACTTTGGGGGCGGGTCGGGTGTACCAGGGATCTGACAATTTGCAATTTGCTTTTATCATCTTAATTTGATTTGAAGGGTGTTTGTATAGGAGGAGTAGCCAAAAGGGGGGAGGTACATGGTGGAAAGTCGGTTCGATAATGAAGCGAAGTTGGTTAAATTAGCACAGCATTCAATTATTCAGCTTGGCCGGGGGAATAACGTCTTCTCATTTACTTTTCCATTTGGAATACAAACCCACACAATATATATAATATGTACTCAATATAGGAACCCGAGGCAATAGAGAAATAAATAAAAAATGCTGTTAGTTATAGTGGTAATCCTGGTCCTTTTGGAATCGACTTGTGGCTTCATCATCACAGTGGATGCCCACGAGACGATGTGCTTCTACGATCACGCCAATGTCAGCGATAAGGTGACCATATCCTTCGAGGTCATGGACGGCGGCTTCAAGGATGTGGGTGTGGAGATCTCGGGACCTCGAAATGATCGCCTCCACCACTCGGAACAGGACACCGTGGGCAGTTTCACCTTCACGGCCATGAAAGATGGGCAATATCAGCTGTGTTTCGACAATAAAATGTCCACGCTGACTCCCAAGGTCCTGATGTTCCAGTTCCATATAGCCAGGGCCTTGAAATACTACCAGGATACTTCGAACCGATGGGACGATGTCATCGAGCAGGCGACCGTTCAATCAATGATCAACGAATTGTCCTCCAAACTGGGAGCCGTGAAGATGGAACAGGAATATATGCACTTTCGCTATCGCGGTCACTTGGAAGTCAGCGATATGGTGGAATTCCGGGTCCTCGCATGGTCTATATTTGGCCCCATGATGCTGATTATTATGACCATTTTGGAGGTGTACTACCTCAAAGCACTTCTTTGAAGTCCGGCGCGTAGTTTAACCTTTGGTATAGGACTAATGTTTGGGAAATAAATGTAAACCTAATAAAAACTTATAATATTTTAAAATTATTACTACTTTAATGTTAGGTTGCTGCAATAAAAATCTATAAAATACTAAGACAAAAATGATTTTTACTCTTTGTTATAAAAATTAAATTTTAATTCTTCTGAAAATACATTTTTCATGTAAGTAGGTATCATAGAAAGGTTTAGGAATTTAAGCGAATTTTCTTTTCATTTATTGGTTTATGTGTACTTCACTTACTTCTAGGATGCTTGATTAAAAGTACGCAATCAAAGCATTAAATTTAAGAAATTGGCAGAAATGTTTAGTCTTCGCTTTTCCTTGTGGCTGTTCTTTCCCCTCAATTTGTTGCATATTTCACGCTTCACAAACCATAAAACTTTTCTCCGTTCGGGGGGCTGGGTTCAAGTATCCATAAAGTTCACTTCACCTATATAGAGTGTGGCCCCGCATTGGATTAGCACTGGAAATTTATGACGGCTGTCCACACACATGGCCAATACACCAGTCGTGGCGGAAACTTATCATATTCATTCACAACTTTCTCCCGCCGCTTTCTCTTTGGTCTTGGCTCTTAGTCCTGGGTCCTTGGCGAAAACAAAGCCAAAGTTTTTGCCTCTTATTTACGACAATGTCGCGTCAAGTTTTTTTCCCGCTGCCGCTCCGCTTTTTGTTTTTCTATTCCTGTTCTATGGGGTATATGTATTGCCCTATAAAGTAGCAAGTTTTCCCTATTTTTTATTATTTTTTTTCGTTGGTTGTTGCATAATAAAATGAAGCATGTTGTGGGAGCTCTCGAGACGCGGCATCTGGCAGCGCCAGAAGAATGAATAAAGGACACCCGACTCGGTACAATATTGTTCCCCAGCGTCAAATGAAAGCAAAAGTTCAGGGAGCAGAATGGAAAGGAGGAGCGGAATGGGGGGCGGAGGGGGGCGTAAAATGTGGTCCAAGTATCCTGGCAGCCAATGGAGCAGCGCGCAAATAAAGTTCACAAGACAAAACAGGAAAAGCAATGGAGGCTAGGAGAAAAGCTGGCTGCTGGCCGAGAGAAAATCCAGTTCCCTGATGGATATTTTCCAAGAATTTTATTTCGAATTTACATTCTACGGTTTCCCTTGTTGCGATGGGGAGTATATTAAAATTGTAATCATTTCTTAACTTTTAAATATTATTGACAAAGAAGTTAAGAAAGTAGTTTAAGGATTGCAGGTATATAATTAAAGATGCTTAAGTTTAGGGACTACCTTAATAGGTTTGTAAAAACCTATATTCCATAAAACGTATATTTAAACAAAAATATAAAAGAATTTTTCCATGGAATGGTGTATTTTTCAAGAGATTTATTTGGAATTTACATTCTGTTTATTTTATGGTTAGTATTTTTAAATAATTTTCCAACATCCAAGGACTTTCAGAACCTCTAAGCCATCTTCATCATAGCAAACATTAAAGCCCTATTCTATTCCCAACTTCGATTTATTCACCAGCAGCTACTCAACATTCCGATGGCCCATCATCTCTCATCATTATCGCATGCCAGGACCTCATGGCACTCTGGCTTCAATTATGTTTTGCATCCTTCAGAGCTGTTCACTTAATTGCATCACTTGCAGAACTGCCGGGGGTTGAAGGCAGCGGTTAGCCTTGGGTCTCGTTCCTTTTGAGTTGTGATGGTTCTCGGTTCAAATGTCCTCCCCCTTTTCATTCTCCCAACTTCGTCCTACCACGCCCATCGTGGCAATTCAATTTTCTATTATGTCAGGCCGAGTTGAAAGCAATGTAATGTTAATAAAATACTGCCACCAGGCTCAACCTCGCATCGGTATGGGTACTAGTGCTCCAGCTAGAGCAACAATGGCAGCAACATAAGCAACGCGGCTGCCATGGCAACGTAGCGTATACGCAACGTGGTGCGCCTTTTGTCCTGCCTACGAGTATTTACCCGCAACACAGCAAACACACAAGCCATATGAGAATGCGGGGCAGCTGAGGCTGAGGCGGTTAGAGCTATGTTATTTGACATTTATTTGCCATTTCGAACAACAGTGGTTGCACCGAAAAAAAATTACTAAAATAAATATAATAATAAAATATAATAGGCCTACTTTGACTTGGTTTTGAGTACTTTAAATATTGGTAAAAAAATAAATATTAAAATATTAAGGGGAGATTTGAATAGCAGTTATTAAGAAGCAGAAATAATATTTTAGATAGATGATGTGTAAAATTAAGATAACCTTTTATTATCTTTATTTTTATTTTACGGTTTTTCTTATCCCATTAATTTTAATTAAAACTTAAATATATTTAACTGGTATTCATCGAGCGATATTTATTTCAAAATTATTTTATGTATTAAAATATTTATTATGGCGCATTCTTAAGGAATAGGCTATAAAACCCCCAATTATATTTCCGTGTACAATGCAGCACTTACCTCGTTTCTGTGGCGCCTGCATGGAGGAGGGCGATGGCGTCGCCAGGCGCTCACCCACCAGCTGGAGGAGCAGCAGGAGCATCAACAGGCCACAGTTGACTGCTCCCGATCCGGCGGCGGCTCCTTTGTTCCGCCCCATCGTCGGACGACGGGCGATTCCACTCGATCCTTGACTTTGGTTTTGGTTTCGGTTTCGGTTTAGGTATTGGTATTGATTCCACAACTCGTTGGAGCGTTTGCTTTGGTGCATTTTGGTTTTCGCACTTCACTTTCACAAATATATCTCTTTGCTGCACTTTTTACTTTATTAGTTCATTTCATTTATGCTCCTATTAAAATATTATTTAAAATATTATAATTAAGAAAAAAGCGATTGTGAAATATTCTGCAAATATTATTGTTAAGCTTTCCTCTGTTTAATGTCTGCAAATATTTTAATTTTAATCTCGCTTATAATTTTTGCGCATTTAGTAGGCCATATTTGCTATTAATTAAAAAGCAATTTACTCAATAATTGATTTTTTTATGCGGGGACAATATTTGTTTGCCCTCTTTTAATGACTCATTGTTTGGTCATCATTAGTCATGGCGAAAATCCAGCGGGAACTGAAAAATGAGTAAAATCCCAGGAGGCGAACTGTTGGCAATCATTCTTCATTAGATGGGGGCCAACATGTCAAGGACTTTTCGAGGACGACCACAGAAATTTCGCAGTTTTCTCCACCGTCTTCTCATCCCCCGATTCTTTTTTTTTATTTTTTAGGTTGATAAATATCAAAAATTCACAGTTGCATTTCCATGGAAATTGGCAGAGGCAAAGCGAAAAAAAGGAATGCAAAGCGAAAATACTTTTTTCTGGCAGCCAACTAAGGGCCGGCGACGCTCTGTGGAGCTTGAAAAATTGCAGCAATTAGTGGTGCCTGGAGGTCAACCAACCAACGAGCCAAAAAGGACACGGCTCCCAGGATCCGCTGGTCATGCAACCTGGCGACGTGAGCCAACCAAGAAATATGTGGTTGAAATATTTTGGTAACGTTTTTGGTTCGGTTTTTTGCCTTTTTGCTTTGAAATACCTTTTAAAGTGTGATTTTTCGGGGAGATTGAAAGAGACTTTGCGTGGAATTGGTGTCACCGTTTGGTGATTTGGCAAATAGTTGGGTATTACGAAAGGATTTCAGGTAGCACAAACGATTTTTACTTTTTCAAATAGCTAAATCGTTGGCATTTTTATAAGCTGGCACTTAAAGTTTAATATTCATAATAGCCGTGATTCGTTAACCATTATTATTTATGATATTATTCTGCTCTTATCAAATTAAATGATTTACAATGCAGTTTATGGACAACAAAAAAGTGGACAATTCAACTTTTATAAGCATTTTTTGTAAACTGTTTGATAGATGTCTCTTGTTCGCGGGCAATCGAGTTTTATATTTCATTAAAAATATAAAACCATTGGGCTGTTATTTCAATGATGAATGCCTGCTTGGCCAATTCGGGCACACACGGGCGAAGGACTCGTGGCAGGTCCTTTGTGGGTTCAGCTGGGTCAATATTTCAATGGGTCGCACTGGTTTTTATTGCACCTCTAGGCACATTCAATTATTTATGCAAACGCTTCGAAGGGGAGCAACAAAAAAAAATCAAAATCGGGCCAAATTCAGTTGCGGCATATGGCGAAAAAGGGACAAAAACCGCTGGGAAAGAATAACACAAGGACGAAAACAAAAACAAAAGCCAACCGAGTGAAGCGCGCACGAAAATAAAAATGGCCAGGGAAACGTTCTGATGGCCATTGACGGATGTGGCACGCGTTTCTCCTTTTATATTTGCTTTATTCTTATTTTTTTTTATTATTTGCAGAGGCACTTTATAAAAAATCACGTAGCCGCCATGGAGTCAGGGAGGGATAACCACCACCCGAGCGCAGAGCATTGAAAATTTAATATTTAATCTTAACGAAGGACATCCATTACAATTACACAATTGAGAATCACGCACCACAGACACAACGCACTCTTTCCCAGGACGAAACAGGAGCTTCGGAGGATTGTGAACCGCTTCTGCCGACTTCTGCAGACGAACTGAGCGCGAATCGAGTAGAGCTGCTGTAGCGAAATCCGCTGGAGATATATATATGGAAAATCGGAAAATCCAAGCTAAAGCCAACACGACGATGGCGACCTCAGGCTTCGACTTGCCACGGCAAACTGGCGATTTTTCGTGATTTCCCTGGCGAAACCGAGCCGAGAAACGAAGCTCTGAATGAAAGTGAAGCTGATTTTCCGACGCCAACTGAGCGAAACGGTAAAGCCCTTTTTCCGGGGAGCGTGAAAGCTCTGATTTGTGCGTAACATCTCTCCAGTATTTCACGACTCTCTCTCCGGAACCATCTGACTTTTGTTTACGCCTAATCAGCTGTTCGCAGCTCGACTCGCACGTGGTCGAGAACAACAAAAACAAAGCCCGTGTTTTGGTTTTGAATTATGTAAGCAACTGAATCGGTTAACGGGAATGTGGCGTAAAGGATAATTTAAGGTACACTGAGGAAATTCAATACCATCTTTATTTTTTACAAGTCGTTTTTGTATAGAAATAAATAGTTGGTAAATAATAAATACTAACTTAAAATAAAAATATTTATTTTTAGTGTACAACTAATGTTGATTTAATATTTTTAAATGTGCTTTTTTATCAAAGACATTCTGGTGGCAAACTGATTTTAATATTGCTTTATCTTTATCAGTTCCCTAGCACTTTTTATTCAATATAAATATGTTTTTTATAACGTCTAATAAGGAATAGTAGGTATTTATCTTAATTTCTTTATTTTAAGCAAATTTAAAAATCTTGTTGAGAGAAAATCTAAATATCTGTTATTTCAAGAACTTGACTTGTATATTTCCGAATCTTAAACATTTATATTTTCTATTAAAAAATGTCTAAGTAATATAAATAAATACATAAAATATTGTTGTCTTCCGAATCCAATGCAAGATTTGTATATTAACTCTAACAACACAAGTTTGTACTTCTTAAGAAATTAGACGTTTAATTGAAATTTTAAAGATGAATATTTTTCGTTGCAATTCCTATAAAAGGTAGATGAAAAGAAGAAATATTTGACATTCTTTCTGTTCTTTAATTACTAAATACAGTTTACAAAATGCAAAAAATAAAATACGAAGAAAATCGCCTTAAAAACGCTGCCTTCCTGCCAAGAATGTCTACCCACCCACTCCGTCCCAAAGTGGTCATCATCAAGGGCGACTCTTTGCGTGGACAGCTGGCGACGACCTTTGCATGCCAATTAGATTGGGGATCGCGGCAAACGGAGCAACTGGGACACGGACCACTGCGCTCCACCGCTCCACTTCTCCTCGGATTCAGAACAAACCCACCCACTGGAACCTGCCCCCCATAACCTTTAAGTATAACGGTAACGGCTGAGTTTTAAGATGGCGCGAAGGAAAACTGGAGGTATTTTTTTATGGCTATCAACCATCAGATTCAGCTGCAGGTAGTCCTGCCTGGTCCTTCGTCCTGTCCTGCTGCTCTCTTTATTTTCTCATTTCCTGGCCACCTTCAAGGATGTGCGCAGGTGTCAGGACCAGAGGTAAAGCCACTAAAAAAACGAGGAAAAGCCCCGAGATGTGCCTTTTTCTTTTGCTTAATTTTCGTTTTATGTTTTGACACCGTTTGGCAAAGTTTTCCCCATCTCCGCCTGACACTTACAAGTTTGCCTCTTGTTGCCGTTGACATTTTTATACATCATCTGCCGTCCCCTCGACATGTGGCACCTTTAAGTGCCCCCATATCATTTCGCCGTTTCTTACATTTTTATTTAATTTCAGCCTTTTTTTGTGATACGCCTCTGAAATGCCGACATAAAGATTTTTGTTGCCCCATAAAGGCAAGTGTCTTGGCTTCGTTCGGCTTTCATTTTTATTTTATTAGGAGGTGTGGAAGGACAAATCTGAAAAGTGTGAAAAGATGGCCCGCGCTTTGATCAATATTTAATCAGAAAATCGAATACGAATCAATATCAAACGAATTCCAACGACTGTTGCATATTTTTCGGGGGCCCCACATTTGGAATTCATAATTCACGCCGGCCATAAAATATTTAACAAATTCGTTACACAATTGATTTAAATGGGCTACAAATGTACGATAAATATGTACAAAAAATTGCGAATTAATTACAATTCAAAATGGCCGCAGGCGGCCGCAAATATGTGATTTATGTGCCGGCTGTGCATCAGAAATCACGTATACGCCACCACCCTCATTTCGCCAATGCCTTTGGCCATTGCAATTGAACACATAATAAATATTTATGCAGACAGTTGCTTGTTTTTCTACACACACCACAAACACATGCTGTGTAATTATTTGTGTTTGCCCAGATTATTAAAGTTATTTTCTTTGCCCCACCGCCGCCCTCTTTTCCACCTGCTGGCGGTTTTCCTTGCCTTGGAAAACCTTTTGTTTATGTTTACACACATGAATGTATAAATTACGATGCTTGGTTTTTGTAAACAAAATGAGTTTCGCCTGCGGGTCTGCAGAAGCAAAACCTCCGCCTCTGGGCAAACGGCGCTTCTCCCGTCGGCCACATTTAAATATTTGCTCATGGAATTATTTTCCCTGGCATAAAGTGTGGCCAGGTAGACATTTTACAAAGTCAAACAGAAGCTGCCACCGCCACCTCATTCACCTGCCAAGCTGTTAACCCCTGAAACCCCTGGCTTCTTCTTCTTCTCAAACCCCCTCCTTGTCTGGGCACACGATTTGTGTCCCCCTTTTCCAGCTTTCCCGCCCGCTTTTGTATCCCCCACCCACTTGGTCATTGGGAATTTTAATTAAATTTAAATGAAGATTTATTACATATTTCTTTGCTGGGCGCTCAGCTTCGGTGACCTTCAATTGTCCTTCGATTAAGCCACAATTAAAAGCCATATTATTGATTGGAAGAACAAAGAAACGGCGAAGAGCGGTTTTTAATTATGGGATTCTATTAATTATTGCCCAGAAACTCATTAATTACCTTAAAAAGCTAATTGCTCGAAATTAATGGAAAGAAATGTAATAAAATAATTTGTAACACCACTTTAACAATTCAACATTTTAACAAAATTTCAAGAAATGAAAGGTTTACTAAGTTGACTTCGTAATGAAATTCCCAATCGATTGGTATTTAAACCATTTTTATTTTAATTTTTTCATATTTTTTTCAAAAAATATGAAAACTACTTACAAAACTTTTATTTTTTTTTTTAATAATTTAATATACTTAAAAGTAAAAGGATAGTTAGCTAAAAAATTTTTTTAAAGAAAATTATTAATTATTTTAACATAATTACATAACTTTTTAATGCGAAATAGAAAAAAAGTAAATTAATTTTCCATTTTTAAAATATAACATCGCAAGCAAGCTCTTCTCTTACACCTTCTTCTCCTTGGCCGATGGAGGTGGTCCGATGGCCGGCACATTCGTGGATCCACTGTCCGACTCAAAGCCCGTTGGTCGGATCCCGGGTCTCGGACGGATGATGACAAAGTGGCAGACTAGATTGGAGTCCACCACCAGAACGGCGCCGCTGTTATCGAAGATGTTGCAGTAGTTGGGGGCCGAAAAGATGGTGACCAACTGGCGCTCGGCGAAGAACTCGTAGCCATCCTCCACCACCTGGTGGGCACGGACGATCAGATTGAACTTGTGCTGCAGCAGGAAGCCCTCCACTATGGCGGCTCCGAAGGTGTAGCTAACACCACGATCATTTGCCGCCCAGGTGCTAGTAGTATCATCCGGATCCGACCAGAGCAGATCGCACAGCAAGCCATCGCTGGGAACTTCTGTGGGACGAGGCAGTCGGCGAATGTCGTCCAGATTATTCAGATCCGGACTCAACCCACCGTGAACGCAGAAAATTCGATCCGCCACAATGGCAGCCACCGGCATGCAATCGTAGCAGTCCACAAAGGACCTCCACAATTTCACACTATATCGTCGCTTGCACTCGTCGAAAAATCCATAGATCCGATTAACATCCGCCGATTCGTGATTGCCGCGCAGCAGGAAGAAGGTCTCCGGATAGCGGAGTTTATAGGTCAACAGCAGGGCCAAGGTTTCCACCGAGTACTGACCCCGATCCACATAATCCCCGAGAAACAGGTAGTTGGACGCGGGTGGCAAGCCGCACTGCTGAAAGATCCTCAGCAGGTCCTTGAACTGACCATGCAGATCCCCGCATATCTTGACCGGAGCACTCAGTTCCAGAAGCATCGGCTGGGTGAGAAACAACTCCCGACATGTACTGGAAATATATTGCAGCGTGGTCTCGGTTAAATTCCCAGCCCTACGATTTCCAAGCGTCTGGTTCTTCAGCTGATTAATAACGGCGTCCAGGTGGGCCACTCGATTCTTCTCATCCTTCTCCAAGCTGCTCTTGGCGGAATCCTTGCCGTTTTGTAACATACTGGTCGAACGGCGGGACATTGTCTTCTTATATCTCAATTATTTCTCGATTGTGGAATTCTAAAATGTTCGGCTATGTTGAAAATAAATTCTGGTTTCTTCTAGCAACAATCGGAAAGGTTACTGCTCCCAAAATAAGATTAAGCCTTTTTTGAAAATGCATTAGGCAATGCTTATATGCAATAAACATGTATTTCTTAAAGAAATTATAAAATTAAAATGATTTAATTGATTTATAAAAATATAAAATGCAATTTTACACATTGGTTATAATATAGAAACGTATCTAAAGTATGTAAAAAACACGTAGAAAGTACAATTTATGAATTGGAAAAAAAAAGTACATTTTCCTAAATACACTTTTGTTTTTAAGCAATAGGTATTTACTTTATTTGATTAAACATATCATCCCAATAATTTTTGCCTTGGTTTCTTCTTTTGTTTATTGGTTTTAGGGTAAATTGAAAAGCCAAGTAAGGTTCGGATTGTCTTTTCTTCGTCAAGTTAAAGAAGTTAAGTTGGTTGCAATCTGCACTTCAACCCTCAAATGCTTTGGTTAAGACTTTTCACTCCATTTGCTTCTATAGTTCTTGCCCCGTTTTCATTTCCCTACTCCACTTTGCTTCCATTTTGGCATTATCTTTTGCCCCTCGACCGTTTCAATTATCAGACACTTGGCATAAATTTGGCGAAAACAAAAAAACATTCAAATGGACGCTCTCGATAACAGGGAAAAAGCGCCGCAAAGTCGCTTGTTTACTCGCTGTTGACCCTTGAACCCCCTCATCCTCATCCTTTCCCTTTTTGGTTTTTTTTTGTTTTATTTTTGGCCACGAATCGTGGACCCAGCTGCATTTTGGCTACTCGTAATCCCGATTCAGAGAGCTTCCTGCACTTGTAATGCGGCTTAAAAGAGCGAGCGAGAGGGCATGGGTTTTATGGTACCATTTGGGCCATCTAGGGTTTTATGTTCCCGCTCGAAAAAATCCTTTATCCCCTCCCCCTTTTCTCTCCGGTTTTTGGAGCGCATTTTGAATACATTTTTGAATCAGTGTCGACGCTGTTTACTTTTTACGTCACTCTTTTTTGGGAACCAACTCAGTTTGGGCCTTGTGTTCCTCGTCCTTTGGGTTTTATGCGATTTGTGTACTTCCGGCTATGGTGGTTCTCCCCGGGACACATGTGTGTGTCTGCCACTCGGGCAACCTAAAAACCACTGGCAACTTTGAAGCCCACAACCCATTTGTACCCCCATCCGCCCGTCCAGAATGTATTTAATTGCAAGCGGCGCTCAAATAGGATTTGTGCATTGTTTTCTGCGGTGGATTTAATGCACGACCCCGGGAATAGCGATCCCATCCCATCGTCCACCCACTTCAGAGGTCGCTTTTTGCATTTTTTCCTCCGCTCCCATTCGGAATCTATTTTAATGTCAGTTTAATTCAATGCCCCAGCGGTTCCCTAATGCACTGCGGCAGCTTTGAGGGGCTCCCTTGTGCGGCAAATGTAATTAAATTGTGGCCAAAGTGGGATAATCCCCTTCGTTCTTTTCGATATGGGTACTTAGGATACGTAACTGTGCGTGTTGCGTATAACCGAGCAGCGTTTTACATTATATATCCTTAGAAATGTAATAAATTTCAAGTTAACACTACACATGAAATGTCACATAAATGGCAAAGGAAAGCTAAATGGCGGAAGTACTGCGATTTAATTAGGCTTTAATGCCTATTTAACTGTGATTTAATCTGCGCAAAGTATTAATTAGTTCTAATTTCTAAACCAATTCCCGCACAATTAATATTGATACTGATAACCAAGTGATAAATAATGAAATAGTTTTTGTTTTAAAGCAACTTTAATTTATTATTTCTGTTATCCAACCCAAAACTCCCTTTCTGTTCTATTCGGAATACCAATTTCATGGATTCGTACTCAATCGCCTCACTGGGGACTCAAAGTCGAACAGATTTCAACCGTCTCTTGAAATCTGAAGCAGCCAAAGGCGCTTGGCTTATTTCCGTTTCCGCTTGCTGCCATATTTTCTGATCCCTCCTGCAAAGCAGCTCGCCATTTTTACCTCAGCAATGCAATTTTCGATTCAAAAAAAAAAAGAAGCCAAGCAGAAATCGCACGCTTGAATTTGGAAAAGGGGGATGAAATCGGGGGAGAATAAGGGGAATGGAAAATTCGAAGAGGAGAGGGCAAGGGTTGTGTGGTTTGGTCAGCAAAAACTGCTTTTCAGCTGCTGTTGTCGCTGCTTTTGTTGCGGCCATCCCATTGTGTCGCCGGAAATATTCAATTTTCAATTTTCATTTCGCTGGCCAGCAAAAATTGGCAAGCGAAAACAAAGGACGTGAATGGAGAACAGAGTGAGAAAATCTGCTAAGCTCATTGAAAGGGGAGGGAGAATGCTGAATGAAAGAAATCAATTCAATTATGTATTTTTTATACTTTTTTCTCTCTTCCTTCTCGCATTGCATTGTGCGGAATTATGAAGGTGAAATGGAAGGTGCAACCGTCACAGCAACTTAATCCTAATGAAACGTGCAACATGACTTCACAGCCACAATACAGATACAAACTGTCAGCTGACCATTGCAGCCATTGTCATCTTAACACAATTAAGCGCTCAACGGGAGCCTGGGGCAAATATAAATTTATTGAAATATTATTTATGACGTTGAAAATTGCCGGAAGCCGGCTTTAATCCTCGTTACTTACCAGTCAACTCCCAAGTCCCCTGCTGAGCCTGCCTCGGTTATCGTTTGTTTTGGCCATTTTCCAGGGTCATTAGCTGATGGCCATGATGATGATGATGATGGTGTCGGTGAAGCCGAGAACTTTGGCTGGCATGGGGCAACAAGGTCCTGGGAGGTGGCATCTCCAGCTGGGCGTCAGACCACAATCAAATTGGTTTTGGAAAACATTTTGTAATATAGGGATTATTTAAAAGGTAAAATTCTTTGGTTAGCAGCTATATTATCAACTAATGAGAAATGGCTTTCACTGTAAAATAAAAGATGAGAATAAAATAAAAAGCACGCAGGGATCAAGTCAATATGCGCATGGTACATTTCTGGTATCGTTTTTACATGCAATACTGGTGAATCAAGTATATATCAAGTCAGAATATAAAATATATATTGGTGTACAAAATAAAGATTACACTATAAACCCAAATATTTTACTGCAAACTCTTATACCTTTTTTTGAAAAAAAAAAACCTCTTTAAGCCCTTTATTAAGCTGACCTGCTGCAGTAGAACTATTATAAAGTGGATGACCTGTACTTGGGGCATAATGACCATCCTTTAGCTTCGGTAAACATTAAGGAGCGCTCGCAAAGTTGTCAATTGAGCCGCATTGCCACGGCTCGCTGACAGCCTGAGAGAAATATCTCCAAGCCACACACCCGGGCACTCATTAAATTGGCCCGAAGCTTTAAGCTGTTTTCGCTGAGTGCTCGGGATGTGCAGAAGATTCCGGAGACGGGAGCTTGTTTTAATTAAAATTTTAATTTAATTTCTTCCGTCTGTTATATATTTTTTTTCCTTTTTTTATTTCGCACACATTTCAAACGTGATGGGCGAACGCTGCGGGGGCCAGCCAGACATCAAGTGGCCGAAATTAAAATCTGCTGCAAACACTTGACACATGGGAAGAGTCGGAGGTTTCGTTGTCAAACTGCAAACTACATAAGTGACAAAAATTACGCATACGCACTGTGTGGCGCGGCTGCGAAAATAACACGTATAATGAAAGCAACCAGGGCGCAATATATTGAAGTGTGTGCGGGTGTCTGTGGGTGCTCATTAACACTTTGTCGAGTGGCGTGGCCCCAACTTGAAGTTTGTTTGGAGTGGAGAATACGAATACGAATACGAACTGAAAGATGAGCTCAGGCCGCGTGTGTGTGCAAACAGTAAATCACTGAAAATAGCTGGCAAAATAAATTCCACAAAGATTTAGTAAGACATAGACGTTGCTATCGTCCTCCACTCTTTTCTCCTCCATCACTTTTCACACTTCACGCCTGCTGCCAGAGAGAACAGTCCTACCTCCAAAAGTAAAACTACTTTAAATATTTTCGGCCTTAAACAATAGTTTTCGCAGTTAACGAAAAAGTATTGAAAATAAATAAGAAAATAATATTTAACTATAGAATGTATTTAGTTTTATTTAGACTATATAATTAGACTATAATCAAGTTTAAAAGTATGTAAATAAGATTAATATAAAGTTTCAAATATGTCATATTTAGAAAAATGTTCTTCTAGTACAATTAGGTAGAATCAAATACAATCTTCTAAAATTCGAATATTTATTAGTTTAAAAGCAGGTTCAACTTGACGCTTAAAAAATTCTGCTCTAAAATCTTTTATCAAGTATTGTTATTAAATCGTCAAAAACTGTTATCAAGTTTAACAAGTTCTTAAGTTTTTTGTTTGACTTTAAGAGCTTTGCCTGATAAACTATTAAAATATTTATAAATTTTAAGATTTTTTTCTAAATTTTATAGATCTTCCTTAGATTGTTAAAACAGACTTTAACTAATTGGACCTTTGACTGTATTTGCTGCTCAAACGGATGCCTACTTTTCGGTGCGGCTGACTTTTAGCAGTCGCTTGACACATGCAAAAGCCCAGACCAGACACAAGCACAGACGGCGAGTCCTTCGTGTGATATCCTCTTTTAGCAGGCAGAATTCAGCAAAGACACCGAGTGCCAGGCACTTGACGTTGACGAGCCTGTGGATAAGATGCCCTAGGCTGGGTAAAAACGAGTGGTGGAATGCGAGAGAGCACCAGTGGAGTGGGATGATGTTTTCGGAGGACCAGGAGCGATAAGCGAGCGGATAATGATGTACTGGAGCTGCAATCCACTGACAGTCGACAGTCATTGAGCACGCGGCGTATGAGTAATGCGCCATGTTAGTTAGTTAGTTGGGTTGGCTGCAGAGCTGCACGACTGCTCGACTGCCTTTCTGGCGAGCCGAAGGACGAATCCCCTCCTTTTGAC